TTGTTCTTGCCGTAGAGCAGCGTGGCTCGGGAATTCTGGTGCAGCGACTCCACGTAGTCCCTGGCAGACAGCGACGGCCGGTCGTCCATGCTGCCGCTCGAATGCCTCTTCTGAATCTGGAAGAGACCCCCCGACAGGCGTGGGGTGAGCATGGGCGTGGGGTGAGCACGGGCACCTCTTGCTTTCAAGAAGCTTCCCTTGAAAGCTCGCTCCCTCTCACTTAAATGCTTAAAGTCACCCCTAGAAATCTTCCCCTTTGTGTCCCCTAAGAGGACTCCTGGCTCTGGCCAAGCTCGGTTCTGCCCTTGGCGAAGCCCCAGGAGGCTGCGCCCCCACTCACGCAGAGCGCCGGGCGCTTGGTGGGCGAGTCCTGGCGGCAGTGCGAGCTGTGGATGCGGTGCCTCTGAACCAGCTCGTCGGCCGAGGGGTCTGTCCAGAAGTGGTCGGCGGTCTTCATCTTCGTGTACTCCAGCGCGCAGGGCCCCACTGCCCAGGGGAGGGGATCACAAACAGAAGGAAGTCACCGGTGGTGCGCTGATGACCGCGGTCACCGCACAGACCCCAGCATCTCAGAGCAGGGCTGGGAGGACGGCGGGCAGCAAGCGCATGTCGCTGCATCGTGTAACAGCAGCAAAGAATTCCTGGGGTCAGCCAGCCCTGGCAGTGAGCAGTAACCCCCCGCCCTGTGCATGCACCCGCGCTACAGCACCGCGCTGCTTCCCAGCGCCCGGCTCAGCCCTGGCTGATGCCCATCGCTATTACTGAAGCCTGTGCAAGAAAAAGAAACCCTTGAGCTCAGCCTTGCAACTCCCCATCTCTATTCACTGCTCAGCAGCTGCACATGGTGGTCTTTGTAAGTGCTCCACAGGGCTACCTGTCCAGGGCGATTGAGTTTTCTGAAGTTCTTAGGAGAAAACAATTGCATTTCACATCCCAGATCAAAGGGCTGGGAACAGCGGTTTGGAAAGCAAGCTGTCAAAGGAGGGTAAGAGGAAAGTGTTACCCAGTAACGATGCAAGAATTGGCCCATCCACAGGATCCATCAGGAGAGCTTCTTTCTCATAGTACTTACTAGAAGAAATAAGAGAGAGCAGAATGCTGCAGTCTTTCAGCCCCCTGGGACTGCAAAATGATAGAGACAGCGGTTTTAAATCACTGTAATTCCCCCCCCTCTCTCTCTGTGTCACCCCGTGATGGTGAGAGGGCATGAAGCCTTGAACAGGCTGTTCCTGCTCGGGGTGAAATTCCCAGGGAACAGGAATGTGAGCATCCCCATCTCCTACCAAACCGTCCCCAGGACCGGAGCTGACACCTCCCCAGCACACGACACCGCAGCAGGCGCTGCCCAGAAGAGAAGGACAACGCGGTCCCCGACAACCCAGCCACCAGCAGAGCCAGTGAGGCCTGTCTTTATTTCAGGGAGCATACAGCAGCCACCAGCAGCAGGGGATCATCAGAGTCCCCATGCTGGCCTGTCCCACCCAGGGATTGCTCTGGCCCATCTGGATGGAGCTCAGCACCTCCAGCAGCATCGGAAGGGGCAGACGCTGGTAGGGCGTTGGGACGGGCAAACGGTTGGTCCCTGCCAGCACTCACCTGCTGTTTTCTACCAAGTAATGCACAATTTTATCCAAGACCTTTTCGAAGAGGGCTGTGCGGATCCAGAGGTGCTTGATGGCTTGAGGAGACAAGTTGGGCAGCTTCGGCATCTTGCGCACGTTCTCCGGGATGCCCTGGACTTGATTTCGTCTTTAGAGGTACAAGGCAAAAGACAACAGCATCGCTGGCTCACCTCCGAGCACCGCAGGAGCCCAGGGCACCCGTGGCACTGCGTGGGGTACGCGGCCGGGGTGTCGGTGCGGTGGCTGGGGGGTGCCCAGGGAGCCACATGGGGACGGGGCTCTGGACACCGCTCCCTTCATCTGTTCCACCCCCTACTCCAGAGGGCACACATCTGCTTTTGAAAACTGAGGTCAGAAAATCGGTTACGCCCTGTAACAGCACCCTGGGACAAGCCTCTGCCTCAGCAGGGTCCTGACCCACACAGCTTCCCGCTGGCGCCTGGGGACAGCGGCTCACAAGCAAATGGCTTGTCTGAGCCCCGCGTAAAGATTCCTGCCCCCGGGCAGCTGCTCCATCCCTTCCCTGGTTCCTGTCCACGGATGAGCGAGCCACCCTCAGACAGCAGTGGAGTTACTGCCGGGGCAAGCCCCGCACACCCAGGCAGCCCAGAGCTGGTTCCAGTTGGCTTAGCACACTGGTCCATAAACCGTGACAGTTCAGGACAAACGCTCAGCTGTCCCTGAAGCAGGAAAAGGAAACAAGGACTTTTCCATCCTAGCTTAAACCACACCTGCAACTCAGTCTCCCAGGAAAGTTCAGTCAAGATATCAGGACTCTGCTCCGCTGCAAGAGCAATTCCTCCTGCAGAGGCTTAAGCTAGGACAAGTGACCCACAGCCATACCCAAACCCCACACCCACCCCAAAACAGGAGCGACCTGTGGGATAACACAACGCTGGTGCCTTACGCGTTCTCAATGAGCTGCTCCAGGTCCTGCACCTTCTTGCAGAGCTCCTCTGCCAGGGGAAAGCTCTTTCCCACCTTCATGAACAGAGCCGCGATCTTGTTGCTGCGCAGGAATCCCGCCGCCCTCCGCTTCAGCCCGTACAAGACGCAGGCTTCCACCGCAGCTGCAACAGAGCGCCGGCGTCACCGAAGCGCAGAACCCAGAGCTCACACCACAGCAGCTGCTCTCCTGCTGCATCCCCAGCACACAGCAGAAACGTTTCCCAAGAGGAGAGCAGTGCTACACTCTATTGCTGCCTAAGCGGAGAGGAGAGCGGGGAACCCAGATGCCTTCTGACCCGAAGGAGCAGCGGGCAGCGCAGCTCTAGCTGCCAGTTCTGCTCATTACACCGAGGTGCCATTTCAATTTTGCAAAAACTGAGGTTGGTGACATCTATTAGAAGTTCAGCTAACCCCAACAAAAGGGAAGCAAACACGAACCTGTGTGCCAAGATGTAAGTACTTCAAAGGAGAGTCAACTTGTGCCTCCCAAAGTAGATCCACAGTCCCCCGAAACCACCCGAGAGGGACTAGCCAGGCAGACTAACCTGCCTTGGACCCACTCATCTGACCAACCAACAGCCTAAAGAGATCCTACTGGACCAGTGATGAAACAGGAACACGCAGCTTTCGGATCACAGAGGTGGGATCTCCGCACCCCCAACAGTGAGCAGCCTGGGCTGGAACCGCTCCCAGTGCTTTGGTCAGTCGTAAACCAGAGCGCGAGAAAGGACTTGGGCCGTGTGCTCGCAGCCCTTTGTTCCGAAAATGCCAGGATCCGGCTCTGCTACACGATACCCTGAGTGCAAACAAATCGATGCTAACGCCGGGAAATCCCGGCACGCGTGGAGGTCTGCATCAGCGTGGCCACGGTTACCAGAGCAGTGACTGTCCCAGCGCAGGAGCAGCCAGCTCACGGCGCGGCAGCGATCGCACGGGTCAGGAGCTGGCACGAGCCTACCAAAACCTGCCACGAGCCCGCTCCTACGGCGTCGCTCGGGTTAAGCCCGTGGGAGCAAACAGCCCATCTGCGGTTTAACAGCTTGAAGCTGAGCACGGCTGGACGCAGCACAGCGATGGGGCTCCCCTGGCTAAACGGGGCTGAAACCATTCCAGGCGACCAGTTTGTCTGTGGGGCCAGTAGCCCCAGCCGAGCCTGGGCCAGCGTCACGGGGAGGGCAGTGCCAGCAGCGCACCGGACTCGGGGTCCCTCTGCAAGCTCAGGGCACCAGTCCCTCTTCCTTCTCTCCAGTCTGCCCACCAGTCCAGCCACCATCACTAATCAGGGGCTCGATGGAAGGACAGGATGTAAAGCTCCTCAGACAATATATTCCAAGGCAGAGACCATCCCCACCTGGCCCTCAGGAAAACATCCTCACCAGCCGTGCGACAGCCAACACGCAGGCGTGCTGCATCTCCTCCAGGCAGGATAATTGCTGTGCTACGCGGACAAACAGGCTGATGCTCTCCTGGCAGGTCTCTGCGGATTCCAGAGACACCGAACAGCTCACTGACGTTTTCCCTTCGGCCCAGCCTGAGGGATGGGTACGGCTGGAACAGATTTCGCCCTGAGCCCCTGCGCTGGGATTGTGCAAGCGAGAAGGAGAAAGCTTGAGAGTGAGAGAGGCACACTGAGCAGCAGAAGAGATGGGGCAGTTTTGTCAGAAAAAAATATCTGCGTTCACACAAGCATCCTCCTGAAAAACCTAAAGGCAACAGAGAACCTGGGGATGAACCACGGGCAACGCCAGCAGCTCAGCCCGGCTTCGGCCACCACCCTCCCAGCTCGCCGGGGGCTCAGCTGGCTCCTGGCAGCCGGTGCTCCGCGGGTACGCCCCGTGCAAGGCTTGGCCTGACTCCCCTGCCTGATGAAAGCAGCGTCAGGCACTCCCCAGACCACAGCAGAGCCCAGGCAGCGCTGGCCGCCTGCCCTCTCCTGCCAGCTCCTGCCCGGGCACGCAGCAGGCGGGGGGCTGACTCCACAGAAAGATGCACAAATGCCGGCTCCAGCGGCAATCCGCTTGCCAGAGTCCCCCGGGAGGGCTGGGGATGGATGTCTAGTGTCAAACCAGGCTTATTAACCAGGCTGATCAAAGCACTGGAAAATTACACGGACCCACCGTTCTGCAGGCTATTGATCTGGGTCCGACAACAAGCTTTCTGGTGCACCAGCACCGCTCCTTCCCCAGGAACCTGAGGGTGCAGAGCCAGCGCCGAGCCCTCCCGCAGCAGCCCAGCAGATGCTGATTTGCCTCTCGCTCCTAAAGGCATTTTTTTCCTACAGCTGAGCAACTCTACGGAGACACTTAAAGACGTTCCATGCAGACCCATCACCGTCAGCTCCCAGGGCTGGGAGATGCTCCCATCATCTCTGCCCTGCTCAGTGCCCTGCCCGAGCTCAGCAGAGCCAGCGCCGAGCCCTCCCGCAGCAGCCCAGCAGATGCTGATTTGCCTCTCGCTCCTAAAGGCATTTTTTTCCTACAGCTGAGCAACTCTACGGAGACACTTAAAGACGTTCCATGCAGACCCATCACCGTCAGCTCCCAGGGCTGGGAGATGCTCCCATCATCTCTGCCCTGCTCAGTGCCCTGCCCGAGCTCATCACCGAGCGGGCAGCATCCGCCGTGCTGCCAGACACGTCCCGTGCTAACAGCAGAAAAGCAACAGGTCCGGGCCAGCCGAGTCCTGCCCACCCAAACCTGGCCCTTCAGAGCCACTGGATGGATACCTGATTTTTAAACAAAGCCCTGCACAAACCTTCCTGAAGCCCAGATGTGCTGCAAATAGCACAGCCCATGCATGGATGGGTTTTCCTACCTGTCCCAGCGGACTATTTGCAGCTGCAAAGTAAGACTCAACTGCTCAATGGCTTTGGGACCAAATGATGACCCACCCCTCCCTCAGACACACTCAAATCACCGACCCCATTCCCTTCATTCATTTATCCTGTGCTCCAAGGCTGAACCACAAGTGACAAATGTCCCTCCCTGCCCGGGGCTGCACCCAGTCCTGCCCGTGGCACAGGCATCTCCCGAAAGCTCCGCGGGTCTCGGCTGCTCACCCCTCGCAGCCGGCAACCCCAGCCAAGGGAGCTCGGAGCCAGCTGGAGTGGGATTGCAAGTCGAAAAGTCACAATTTTGGAACGTAAGGTTATGCAAAACGTGCAGCTGGACTAGAAATCACAGCAGCACTTCAAACCCCGGGGAGAAGCCCCCCCCCTCCACCGAGCCCGAACCGAGGGACCACGTTGCCAACGTCAGCTCCCTGCTGATGGAGCCGGACCAGGGCAGGGCATCACACGGGAGAAAACCCGGGCTGCAGAAAAGCCTCCCAGCACGCTCCAGCCAGACAGAGCAGTCATCAGCATCAACGCCACAGCCTGACCCTCTCCCAGATACTGCTCCCACTGGGAAAACTACAGCAAAGGTGCCGCCTCCGTAGGAACAACTCTCCCTGTGCTCTCCCGAGGGCTCAGAGGCTCCAGCACACAAACTAAAAGCACTTGTCCACACTAAATGCAGTTTATTTTTTTAACCTTATGATTTTTTGAGCCCAGTTCATAACTAACGTACTGTCACCACGGCAAACAGACGCTGTGACGGGGTCCTCCCCATCCCTAAGGACACAATCCACAGCAGAGACACAGGGTGCAGGGGCTCTGTGCCCCCTCACCCAGCTCAGGTGGGAGTTTCGATTCTTGGCCAAAGCCTGCAGACATTTCTGAGATCCTGGCATGCTTCAGACCACCCAGGCTGAGCACAAAGGCAGTCTCAGCACCGACGTGGACAACAAACCCCTTGGCCCACGCCGGCCCCCAGCCCCGCCGCCGGCTCTCCATCAGCCTCCCAGGGCAGCGCCAACGTGACAGATGCCAACTCGCGTTTGTCTGCTTCAAACTCTTCCCTCGCAGGCAAAACCGGGAAGCTGCCCTTTCCTGCCAGACCACTGGTTTCACCCGAAGGGGTGTGCGGTACACTGGCTGCGCAGAGGAGGAGGAGGGCTGTGGGAGGAAGGCAGCGCTCCCCGGGGAGAAGGGCAGCTCTGCCGAGCCAGAGCCAGGCTGGCAGCACGCTCCAGAGGTCATTTATCCGCTCACCTGGCTCACGGGGAGCCACAGCGCCGAGGAAGGTGTGTGTCCCATCCAAATGGAGAGCAACAGCAGAGCGACCAGAGCAGAGGGTGCCGGCACCAGAAGCCAGGGAAAGTGCAGCAGCACCATGAAGAAGGCAGAAGGAACTAACGAGCCCTTCGTGCCGGGATGCCTCAGCTCCCTGTGGCAGGAGGCTATAAATAATCCCAGGCTGCGAAGCCTCGTGCTGCACAGAAAAGCAGAGAATGAGTCACACCTCGAAGTCTGTTCTGCTCTTTCGATGCCGTTCGGTCGGCGGCACACAAAGGCACACGAGCGCCCGCACGTCTTTTATGCGGGGACGCAGGAGCAAAGGAAGGCGGCGGTCTCTCCCTCTGCTCTCCGAAGCAGCAAAGGAGACCTCACAGCTCCTTCCTCCCTCTTCTGTGTGCCTGTGCAAGTGTTGTTCAATGGAGACAGTGCTGCACGAGCCTCCTTGGAGCAACGTCTTCAAAAGCTAGTTGTCATCACTTCTGTCATTTTCTTCCCAGCCCCCGAATCAGCAAGCTGCCCTTCAGCTCTCCGTAACCGGCGGCGCGC